ATGTTAATACCTGGTACGTCCCTGTATATAGCCATGTTATTACCTGGTACTCCCTGTATATAGCCTGTAATAACCTGGTATTTCCTAGTATTAGCCATGTAATTACCTGGTATTTCCTATATGCCATGTATTAACCTGTCCTGGTACTTCCTGTATAGCCATGTTATTACCTGGTACTCCCTGTATATAGCCATGTTTATTACCTGATACTCCCTGTATATAGCCAGTTATTACCTGGTACTCCCTGTATATAGCCATGTTATTACCTGATACTCCCTGTAATAGCCATGTTATTACCTGTTACTCCCTGTATATAGCCATGTTTATTACCTGGTACTCCCCTGTATATAGCCATGTTATTACCTGGTACTTCCTGTATATAGCCATGTTATTACCTGGTACTTCCTGTATATAGCCATGTTATTACCTGGTACTTCCTGTATATAGCCATGTTATTACCTGGTACTTCCTGTATATAGCCATGCTACTAACTGGTACTGCCTGTATATAGCCATGATATTACCTGGTACCCCTGCACATCGACTCAGTACTGGTACTCCCTGTATATAGCCATGTTATTACCTCGTACCCCTGCACATTGACTCAGTACTGGTTCTTCCGGTATATAGCCATGTTAATACCTGGTACGTCGTGTATATAGCCATGTTATTACCTGGTACTTCATCTATACAGCCATATTTCTACATGGTACTCCTTGTGTATAGCCATGTTATTACCTAGTACTTCCTGTATGTAGCCATGTTATTACCTGATACCCCTGCACATCGACTCGGTACTGATACAAAGCCTATTCCCCCTCAGGAGACTAAAAAGATTTGGCATGGGTCCTCAGATCCTCAAAAAAATTCTACAGCTGCACCATCGAGAGCATCCTGACTGGTTGCATCACCGCCTGGTATGGCAACTGCTTGGCCTCTGACCGCAAGGCACTACAGAGGGTAGTGCGTACGGCCCAGTACATCACTGGGGCAAAGCTCCCTGCCATCCAGGACCTCTATACCAGGCGGTGTCAGAGGAAGGCCCTCAAAATTGTCAAAGACTCCAGCCACCCTAGTCATAGACTGTTCTCTCTGCTACCGCACGGCAAGCGGTACCGGAGTGCCAAGTCTAGGTCCAAAAGACTTCTCAACAGCTTCTACCCCCAAGCCATAAGACTCCTGAACAGCTAATCATGGCTACCCGGACTATTTGCACTGCCCCCCCACCCCATCCTTTTTACGCTGCTGCTACTCTGTTAAGTATTTATGCATAGTCACTTTAACTCTACCCACATGTACATATTACCTCAACTACCTCAACTAGCCGGTGCCCCCGCACATTGACTCTGCAACGGTACCCCCCTGTATATATAGCCTCCCTACTGTCACTTTATTTTACTTCTGCTCTTTTTTTCTCAACACTTTTTTTGTTGTTGTTTTATTCTTACTTTTTTTGTTTAAAATAAATGCACTGTTGGTTAAGGGCTGTAAGTAAGCATTTCACTGTAATGTCTGCACCTGTTGTATTCGGCGCATGTGACCAATAAAATTTGATTTGATACTCCCTGTAAATAGCCATGTTATTACCTTGTACTCCCTGTATATAGCTATGTTATTACCTGGTACTCCCTGTATATAGCCATGTTATTACCTGGTACTGATACTCCCTGTATATAGCCATGTTATTACCTGGTACTTCCTGTATATAGTCATGTTATTATATGGTACTTCCTGTATATAGCCATGTTATTACCTGGTACTGGTACTTCCTGTATATAGCCATGGTATTACCTGGTACTCACTGTATATAGCCATGTTATTACCTGGTACTTCTTGTATATAGCTGATAGATTAATTATTAATGACTAATTATTACACCCTGAAACTGTGTATAATGTGTTAGAAATGTGTGAGTGTAGGACCAGTAAAGGCTATGGCATTGAGCCACTATTTAGCAATGTGAGTAAGAGTCAGGCCAGACAACAAAGACAACTGAGAAACTAAGATAAAGAGGCCTCCCAATTTAGGGAGGGGAGAAACTGTTATGAAAACATGGTGCAGAATATTGTGAGAACGGCAATAACTGAGTAATGCAGGGAGTAGGATATGTGTGTGTGTGTGTGTGTGTGTGTGTATGTATGTGTGTATGCATGTGTGTATATGTGTGTGTGTGTGAACTGAAGGTCAGTAGAGCAGTTTTAGAGTGGAAAACTACAGCCCGCCTACAGAGGGAAGGGATTTCTTTTTGTATGACGTATGAGTATAAAAGATGGACTCTGAAATTGTGATGGCAGAATTCTCAATGAATAAATATCTCTGACCATGCAGACCGGGACTCTGGCCGTTACTTAAATCCCAAAAGACTTACAACCTTTTGGGAGACGCACAGAGACACTAAAATAGTTTGTTAAATAATTCACATAACAATAGCCATGTAATTACCTGGTACTCCCTGTATATAGCCATGGTATCACCTGGTACTCACTGTATATAGCCATGTTATTACCTGGTACTTCCTGTATATAGTCATGTTATTACATGGTACTTCCTGTATATAGCCATGTTATTACCTGGTACTGGTACTTCCTGTATATAGCCATGGTATTACCTGATACTCACTGTATATAGCCATGTTATTACCTGGTACTCCCTGTATATAGCCATGTTATTACCTGGTACTTCTTGTATATAGCCATGTAATTACCTGGTACTTCCTGTATATAGCCATGTTATTATCTCGTACCCCTGCACATCGACTCCACCGTCGTACGGTACTCCCTGATTCAGCCATGTTATTACCATGGACGTCCTTGTATTAGCCATGGTTATTGACCTGGTACTCCCTGTATATAGCCATGTTATTACTGGTACTCCTTGTATATTAGCCATGTTATTACCTGGTACTCCCCTTGTATATAGCCATGTTTATTACCTGGTACTTGCTGTATATAGCCATGTTATTACATGGTACTTCCTGTATATAGCCATGTTATGACCTGGTACTTTCCGGTATATAGCCATGGTTATTACCTGGTACTTCCTGTATAATAGCCATGTTATTACCTGGTACTTCCTGTATATAGCCATGTTATTACCTGGTACTCCCTGTATATAGCCATGTTATTACCTGGTACTTCCTGTATAATAGCCATGTTATTACCTGGTACTTCCTGTATAATAGCCATGTTATTACCTGGTACTTCCTGTATAATAGCCATGTTATTACCTGGTACTTCCTGTATAATAGCCATGCTATTTTTCTCTTCTTCCATTGACTTATCAAACCCTTAACCAAGGCCTGATCTGTTTGGTCTGCTTCACAGGCGTTCCCGGAAGTCTCAAGATGCTCTGGGTTTAGAAACGGTGTTTTTCCCCTTATGTTTTAGAAAGTGTAATGGATTTACACAACTGTCCAGTTGGTGGCGGCAATGCACCATTTGGTTTCCAACCGCCATTTCAAAATCACAGAAGAAGAAGAGTTGCGGAGGTCATGGCTAGAAGGAATCCAGCTTTTGTAAAATTAATATCATATTTAACATTTCATAGCAGGTTAGGAGAACTTACGCTGCAAGTTAGGAGAATTAACGTAGCAGGTTAGGAGAATTAGGTTAAGGTTTGGAAAAGGGTTAGCTAATATTCAACAAAAAAATGAACTTTCATCAAAAAGATCACTGTTCATTTTCAACTTTCAACAAAAAAAAATCAACGTTCATTTTTATAAAAGCTGGATCCACAGATAGAACAATGAACCAGATATTTCACCGGATGTATAAATGTGAAGCATCCGGTTGGCGTTTCCACTCACTACCAAAATGATGAGAGGAAGCCCAGTGACCGGCAGTGGGAGAAGATGGATTTTGGCCGAGATTCTGCACATTTTCTCATCAATAAACATTTGATCTCAATACAGTTTTCTGTTTCCAAAACTATAATATGTAACGAACAGAGTGGACTGTGTTTTGTAGACTTTACCCTTTGCAAAATGTTTTTGAAAAAAATGGCATTGTTTAGAAGGGGTGCAAGGGCGAATTGGGTTATTGCACATGCGCACTTCACAGAGTAGGCGTTCCATAACGGAAATATGAAAATAAGTGCTATATCGCGCCAATAGGATCTCACTAGCTGGTGCTTGGCTCTGCCCACTATCATTCATGTTCTGCCATAGAGCACCACAGTACGAGTTAATAATAATAATAATAATAATAATAATAATAATAATAATTTAAAAAAACATATAAAAATACATAAACAACAGGAAATGGTTCCAATAGATTTCCACCGTTCATTTTCCCCATAATGGATCTTAGAAACACTTAAAAATAAGGGCTGTGTTTCCTCTAGGTTTACCCTGGCGTCACGCTTTGATAACCAGTCTAGGAAAAGGTGACTTTTATCAATATATTCGCCTGTATTTACCCCCCCAAAAACGAAACACTAATTAGATTTTAATCAACAGGGCTGCATTTTCGGAATGTGTGAGACAAAATTATATATAGACAACATAGATTTTTAGCGTTGGCAAATGGGAATGACACTCAAACAGTCTTAGTCTCCTAGTGAGGTGCCTATAAGACGTAGCTAGCTTCATAGCTAAACATATTTTCTGAAATGGAATACATGAGCAAACTATACAACTAGCTAGCCATCTATGGGTACATGACAGGAATGCTAGCTAGCTACGTTAGCTTGCTAGGTACATTAATAGTTTTAGATTGGTTGTTTTTAAGATCAACTTCAACATTTCCACCAAGGACGTTGCCCTCAGATCATCATTAAGGTGTAACTCGGATGTAAAACGTAATTCCAGGGCTGAAGGTTTAGTGCGGAGGGTTGTTCACTTTGCGGTTGGACTTCAACCCAATGTCGGGATTCACCCCTGATGACGTGTTTGTATCATATGACACTTCTTTTGGACAGCTCTCTCTTCCTCTTTCTACCTACAGGACACTACATCACACGGTACCACAACACCACGTTGATATTCTAGGCTCACTTGATACAATGGAAGAGGAAAGGAAGTCCAGGCGGTTCTGGTTCATGGCTTTGATCATGTTCTTCTCGGTATCCAGCGTGGATGCAGTGTGGCCGATGCCTCAGATGATCAGCACTTCCATGGATCGATACACACTAAATCCACGGGAGTTTATTTTTCAGTACTCTAGTGGATCATCCGCGCAGTCCGGTTGTTCTCTTCTGGACTCGGCTTTCAAGAGATACTTCCCGCTCATCTTCCCGGATTACAGGGCAGGTAATAACAAAACATGTTAAATAAATGGAGAAGAGTTTAAAGTTGTGTGAATCAGTCCCATAGGCCTCCAGTCTAATTATTGTGGGTGTGATTCCAATAATTCCAGTAATAGGCCCACCTAATGCCCATTGTATTGCCCTATCTTATATGAGAAGACAACATGGTGCTTGTTATCGTTCATTGGTCATGGTCAGTTGTAAGGAGTATTATGTTTTTGAAACCATGTTGCCAACCATTGTAGAGCAAAACAAAAGGTACCTTTGGTTTGGTGGCTATTCTTTGTGGCATGTGATTTTTAGCTCAATGAGCACTGCATACCTATAGCTACACTGCATAACATGTGATTAAAAGTAATTCATTTAAGAATATGCCTGCTTAATCAACTAACCTTATTAGAGGCAGAGTTGATTTATATTTGAGAGTAAATAATTTGCGAGACTGCTGCAAAGTTGTGTTCACACATTTTATGAATACCATTTTAGATTTTTGAGTTGTACAGGTGAGCAATTTCACATAAACATCAATGAACATGATGAAGTATGTTCATGTGTTTTGTGTTTGATTCAGCAGGACCCAGACAGCCCGATGAGTGGTTTAGGTTCCCCTTCACCGTTGTGGTCCATGTGGAGAAAGCAGAATGTGAGGGTTATCCAGACGCAGACTCCTCAGAAAGCTGTGAGTGATGAAACAATCAAACACACATAATCTCTGCCCTGAAACTTCCTCTGTGCAGACCCTGCTGAGTAAATACAGGTAGTGGTGAAAAGAGGACTGAAATGGCCTTCTCCAGTAGAAGTAAAATTACTGGTATAAAAAACGACTCGTAAAAAGTCGATAATTTAAAAACTATTCAGAGTAAAAGTAATTTTGTTACTTTTAAAGGGTACGTACATAAACGTAACCCCATGTAACATGTGGATTTGCGTTAGCATATACACAACCAGTCAAAAGTTTGGACACCTACTCATTCAAGGGTCTTTCTTTATTTTAACTATTTTGTACATTGTAGAATAACAGTGAAGACATCAAAAATATGAAATAACACATATGGAATCATGTAGTAACCAAAAAAGTGTTAAACAAATCAAAATATATGTTATATTTCAAATAGTCACCCTTTGCCTTGATGACAGCTTTGCACACTCTTGGCATTCTCCCAACAAGCTTCATGGGGTAGTCATCTGGAATGCATGTCAATTAACAGGTGTGCCTTGTTAAAAGTTAATTTGTGGAATTGCTTTCCTTAATGCGTTTATATGAGATTATACATGGAGTTTATACATGGAGTTTATACATGGAGTCTATACATGGAGTCTATACATGGAGTCTATACATGGAGTCTATACATGGAGTCTATACATGGAGTTTATACATGGAGTCTATACATGGAGTCTATACATGGAGTCTATACATGGAGTCTATACATGGAGTCTATACATGGAGTCTATACATGGAGTCTATACATGGAGTTTATACATGGAGTCTATACATGGAGTTTATACATGGAGTGTGTGACTCTCTTTATTCATTTTTGTGCTATAATGCCTTGACATTGTCTAGCCTTTACAGTACACATTATTTCTAGCCATGTAGGACCCTTTCCACAGAGTGTTTACACCCTATTTCTGTTGACAGGATTAAACTAAATCCAGTGATCCTCATACATTGAAAACATGGAGGGAAGTTCAACGGCAATATACAGTAAACTGAGTAATGACATTCCTAGACACTGGCGTATATTCTACAACCCAGCCGTCCTTGCTTCCTACTATATTCCCCAACCCAGCCGTCCTTGATTCCTACTATATTCCCCAACCCAGCCAGCCGTCCTTGCTTCCTACTATATTCCCCAACCCAGCCGTCCTTGCTTCCTACTATATTCCCCAACCCAGCCAGCCGTCCTTGCTTCCTACTATATTCCCCAACCCAGCCAGCCGTCCTTGCTTCCTACTATATTCCCCCAACCCAGCCAGCCGTCCTTGCTTCCTACTATATTCCCCAACCCAGCCAGCCGTCCTTGCTTCCTACTATATTCCCCAACCCAGCCAGCCGTCCTTGCTTCCTACTATATTCCCCAACCCAGCCAGCCGTCCTTGCTTCCTACTATATTCCCCAACCCAGCCAGCCGTCCTTGCTTCCTACTATATTCCCCAACCCAGCCAGCCTTCCTTGCTTCCTACTATATTCCCCAACCCAGCCAGCCGTCCTTGCTTCCTACTATATTCCCCAACCCAGCCAGCCGTCCTTGCTTCCTACTATATTCCCCAACCCAGCCAGCCGTCCTTGCTTCCTACTATATTCCCCAACCCAGCCAGCCGTCCTTGCTTCCTACTATATTCCCCAACCCAGCCGCCGTCTTTGCTTCCTACTATATTCCCCAACCCAGCCAGCCGTCCTTGCTTCCTACTATATTCCCCAACCCAGCCAGCCGTCCTTGCTTCCTACTATATTCGCCAACCCAGCCAGCCGTCCTTGCTTCCTACTATATTCCCCAACCCAGCCAGCCGTCCTTGCTTCCTACTATATTCCCCAACCCAGCCAGCCGTCCTTGCTTCCTACTATATTCCCCAACCCAGCCAGCCGTCCTTGCTTCCTACTATATTCCCCCAACCCAGCCGTCCTTGCTTCCTACTATATTCCCCAACCCAGCCAGCCGTCCTTGCTTCCTACTATATTCCCCAACCCAGCCAGCCTTCCTTGCTTCCTACTATATTCCCCAACCCAGCCAGCCGTCCTTGCTTCCTACTATATTCCCCAACCCAGCCAGCCGTCTTTGCTTCCTACTATATTCCCCAACCCAGCCAGCCGTCCTTGCTTCCTACTATATTCCCCAACCCAGCCAGCCGTCCTTGCTTCCTACTATATTCCCCAACCCAGCCAGCCGTCCTTGCTTCCTACTATATTCCCCAACCCAGCCAGCCGTCCTTGCTTCCTACTATATTCCCCAACCCAGCCAGCCGTCCTTGCTTCCTACTATATTCCCCAACCCAGCCAGCCGTCCTTGCTTCCTACTATATTCCCCAACCCAGCCAGCCGTCCTTGCTTCCTACTATATTCCCCAACCCAGCCAGCCGTCCTTGCTTCCTACTATATTCCCCAACCCAGCCAGCCTTCCTTGCTTCCTACTATATTCCCCAACCCAGCCAGCCGTCCTTGCTTCCTACTATATTCCCCAACCCAGCCAGCCGTCTTTGCTTCCTACTATATTCCCCAACCCAGCCAGCCGTCCTTGCTTCCTACTATATTCCCCAACCCAGCCAGCCGTCCTTGCTTCCTACTATATTCCCCAACCCAGCCAGCCGTCCTTGCTTCCTACTATATTCCCCAACCCAGCCAGCCGTCCTTGCTTCCTACTATATTCCCCAACCCAGCCAGCCGTCCTTGCTTCCTACTATATTCCCCAACCCAGCCAGCCGTCCTTGCTTCCTACTATATTCCCCAACCCAGCCAGCCGTCCTTGCTTCCTACTATATTCCCCAACCCAGCCAGCCGTCCTTGCTTCCTACTATATTCCCCAACCCAGCCAGCCGTCCTTGCTTCCTACTATATTCCCCAACCCAGCCGTCCTTGCTTCCTACTATATTCCCCAACCCAGCCAGCTGTCCTTGCTTCCTACTATATTCCAAGGATTTAGGGAATGGAAAGAGAGGGCTTTGTAGAGTCTCAACTTTTCAAAGCATCAATTCTTAAATCATTTCAAGAAATCCAGCAAGAATTAGAAAAAAAGGTGCTATCTTTATCACGACAAAGCCTATTCCCCCTCAGGAGACTAAAAAGATTTGGCATGGGTCCTCAGATCCTCAAAAAATTCTACAGCTGCACCATCGAGAGCATCCTGACTGGTTGCATCACCGCCTGATATGGCAACTGCTTGGCCTCTGACCGCAAGGCACTACAGAGGGTAGTGCGTACGGCCCAGTACATCACTGGGGCAAAGCTCCCTGCCATCCAGGACCTCTATACCAGGCGGTGTCAGAGGAAGACCCTCGGTGGTTACTTAGGCCTATCGAGAAGGAGAGTGTTGGGAAGTAGGCCTACAGTGAGGAACTAAGGAGAGCGTTGGGAAGTAGGCCTACAGTGAGGAACTAAGGAGAGTGTTGGGAAGTAGGCCTACAGTGAGGAACTAAGGAGAGTGTTGGGAAGTAGGCCTACAGTGAGGAACTAAGGAGAGTGTTGGGAAGTAGGCCTACAGTGAGGAACTAAGGAGAGTGTTGGGAAGTAGGCCTACAGTGAGGAACTAAGGAGAGTGTTGGGAAGTAGGCCTACAGTGAGGAACTAAGGAGAGTGTTGGGAAGTAGGCCTACAGTGAGGAACTAAGGAGAGTGTTGGGAAGTAGGCCTACAGTGAGGAACTAGTGTCATTCGCAATGGATGTAAAACACTGACTCTGTGTGGTGATGAAAAGTATACTTTGAGAAGCTCCTCAGCTCATAGGGGCCCCTTGTGGTCTGACTTTGACCTCATTCAATTGAAAAAGGAAGAGATGAAATGAGTGTAGGAACTAAGTTCACTACTACTTGAATGACATTTACTCCAGTAGTAGTAAAATTACTGACTTTCAAAAATACTGAAAGTACAAGTACTCGTAAAAGCTACTCAATTACAGTAACGAGAGGATTTATAATGAGTTACTTTACACCTCTGAATACACGTATGGCGATTAATCTTTGTTTCTTCTGTTCTAGACAAGCTGAGTGTGTGTTCAGGCCAGGCAGCACTGAGGGCGGAGACGGTGTGGGGAGCACTCAGAGGTAGAAACACAAGGGTTTATTAATGAGTGATCAATATGATCAACGATGTCCGTTGATGATCTAACCAAATGTCCTCTGGTAAATGACAGGTTTGGAGTCATTCAGTCAGCTGGTCTACCAAGATGCCTCTGGGGAGGTAAGTCATAACTGAACTACTTGATGAATACTAATGAATACTAATGAATACTAATGAATACTAATGAATACTACTGAATACCAGACGTACTCACAAGAATAGTAAACCAAGGAAAAAAACTCACTAGTGAGGACATTAATTATGGAAAGAAATGTATTCACTCACTAACTGTAAGTCGCTCTGGATAAGAGCGTCTGCTAAATGACTAAAATGTAAATGTAAATTGTGGTCGGTCTTCACTTTAAAAAAGGCTTTTTTAGGGTTATGGTTAGGATTAGGGGTTAGGTTTAGGTTTATGGATTTTGGGGTTAGGGTTGGGGTTATGGGATTTTGGGGTTGGGGTTATGGGATTTTGGGGTTAGGGTTGGGGGTTATGGGATTTTCAATGTGAATCAATTGTTACTCCCCAAAAGTTCGTCACAAGCGCTACATAAGTGTGTGTGTGTGTGTGTGTGTGTGTGTGTGTGTGTGTGTGAGAACTGAACAGTCAACATGCTGCCAACAATCTGATTTGCGAAAAAAGAGCAAACTTGATATGATCATTTCAGTTTTCTATCAATCTGACGTGGATTTATTTCTTTTCCAGTATTTTGTGAATAAGACTGAGATAGAAGACTTTCCCCGCTTCCAGTTCCGAGGGATATTATTGGATACGTCACGTCACTACCTACCTTTACCAGCTATTCTGAAGACCCTGGTAAAAATATATATAAATATATACAGTGCCAGTCAAAAGTTTGGACACATCTACTCATTCAAGTGTTTTTCTTAATTTTTACTATTTTCTACATTCTAGAATAATAGTGAAGACATCAAAACTATGAAATAACACATGGAATCATGTAGTATCTGAGCTGTTCTTGCCATAATATGGACTTTTTCCAAATAGGGCTATCTTCTGTATACCCCCCTACCTTGTCACAACAGAACTGATTGTCTCAAACGCATTAAGATGGAAAGAAATTCCACAAATTAACTTTTAACAAGGCACACCTGTTAATTGAAATGCATTCCAGGTGACTACCTCATGAAGCTGGTTGAGAGAATGCCAAGAGTGTCATCAAGGCAAAGGGTGGCTACTTTGAAGAACCTAAAATATTAAATATATTTTGATTTGTGTATCACTTTTTTGGTTACTACATGATTCCATATGTGTTATTTCATAATTTTGTAGAAAATAGTAAAAATAAAGAAAACCCCTTGAATGAGTAGGTGTGAGAAGGGGAGGGGGTGGTAGGGGTTAGGGGGGGGAGTAGGGGGGAGGGGGTGGTAGGGGTTAGGGGGGGGAGGAGGGGGGAGGGGGTGGTAGGGGTTATGGGGGGGAGTAGGGGGGGAGGGGGTGGTAGGGGAGGAGGGGGGAGGGGGTGGTAGGGGTGGTATGGGGGGGAGTAGGGGGGAGGGGGGGAGGGGAGGAGGGGGGAGGAGGGGGGAGGGGTGGTTAGGGGTTAGGGGGGTAGGAGGGGGGAGGGGGTGGTAGGGGTTAGGGGGGGAGGAGGGGGGAGGGGGTGGTAGGGGTTAGGGGGGAGAGGAGGGGGGGAGGGGGTGGTGATTGGGTTCGGGGGGGGAGTAGGGGGGGGGGGTGGTAGGGGTTGGGAGGGGGGAGGAGGGGGAGGGGGGGGGTGGTAGGGTTAGGGGGGGGAGGAGGGGGGAGGGGGTGGTAGGGGTTAGGGGGGGGAGGAGGGTGAGAGAAGGGGAGGGGTGGGAGGGGGGAGTAGGGGGGAGGGGGTGGTAGGGGTTAGGGGGGGGAGGAGGGGGGAGGGGGTGGTAGGGATTAGGGGGGGGAGGAGGGGGGAGGGGGTGGTGAGGGTTAGGGGGGGGAGGAGGGGGGGAGGGGGTGGTAGGGGTTAGGGGGGGGAGGAGGGGGGGGGGGGGGTGGTAGGGGTTAGGGGGGGGAGTAGGTGTGTCTCCCTTCACTGAGGAGGATAGGGGCCAGTGGGCGGTGGGGGAGGAGGGGGGAGGGGGTGGTAGGGGTTAGGGGGGGGAGGAGGGGGGAGGAGGGGGGAGGGGTGGTAGGGGTTAGGGGGGGGAGTAGGTGTGTCCAACCTTTTGACTGGTACTGACTATACACACATACATTTGAGTTACAACATTGAGGTCCAGTTTCTCAGACACAGATCCATGGAGAATGGTTTATAGGCCAGGACTAGGCTTAATCTGTGTCCGGCCCTGAGTTACAGTTTATTGCTGACTCTGACATGGTAAATATGGTTGTTAAATGGTTCACTTCAGATCCTTCTCTCTGTTTACTAGGATGCCATGTCCTACAACAAGTTCAACGTGTTCCACTGGCACATAGTGGACGACCCCTCCTTCCCCTACCAGAGTAGCACCTTCCCTGGCCTCAGCAGCAAGGTGAGAGGAGGGGACCTGTAATGGAGATAAACATTTATAATGCGTTAGGATGCGGTTATAAAACATTTAAAAAAGGCTTATGCATGCTTATAACATGTTATAAACCAGCAGGGTGAGCGTTCCGGCCTGGAATATGGCAAAGCATTAATAATGCATTATGATGTGGTTATAAGACAATATGAAGGCACATTTATAAACACGCTTAGAACAAGTAATATATCATTATAATGCATATAACTGCAGGACTTAAGTAAAGTGTTAAAGAAAAATGCAGAGGAATCAATGTTAAGCTGTAATACACAAAGATCTCTCTTCCACTTGAGGAAACTGGTTCAACTGGATAGAAACAGGTGGTTCTGAAAGACGTTCTGATTGGTTAACTGTTAGCCTGGTGGTTCTGAAAGACGTTCTGATTGGTTAACTGTTAGCCTGGTGGTTCTGAAAGACGTTCTGATTGGTTAACTGTTAGCCTGGTGGTTCTGAAAGATGTTCTGATTGGTTAACTGTTAGCCTGGTGGTTCTGAAAGATGTTCTGATTGGTTAACTGTTAGCCTGGTCCCAGATCTGTTTGACATTCTATAAGGATTTAGCAGATAGGCTTTATGTTTTGCTCTGCTGATTTTGTGCCAAGGTGCTTTCCTCCTTCCTACCTTACCCCTCCTACCTTACCCCTCCTACCTTACCCCTCCTACCTTACCCCTCCTACCTACCCCTCCTACCTTACCCCTCCTACCTTACCCCTCCTACCTTACCCCTCCTACCGTACCCCTCCTACCTTACCCCTCCTACCTTACCCCTCCTACCTTACCTTACCTGCTTGTGCCTCTCAATGTCTGTGTGTGTAACGTTTGCGCTTGGAGTCAGGAAGCAGGTGCAGAAGGTGAGTTTAATAAACATGAACAAGGCAGCTAAACAAAACAGGAGAAGCGTACTGAATGTGAACAAAACCAATCCTGCCTGATGACTGAGGCTACTGAGGGCTATATGAAGGGAGAGTAATCAGGGTGGGGATGAGTTCCAGGTGTGTGTAATGATGGGGACCAGGTGTGTGTAATGATGGGGACCAGGTGTGTGTAATGATGGGGACCAGGTGTGTGTAATGATGGGGACCAGGTTGTTGTAATGATGGAGAAGGGGTTTTTGGAAATTTGGTGGGGACCAGGGTGGTAAGGGTGGGACCAGGTGTGTGAAGGGTGGGGACCAGGTTTTGGTAATGAGGGGGAAAACAGGTTTTGGTAATGATGGGACAGGTTTTGGTAATGCGGAGAGCAGGTTTGGTAATGATGGAGAGCAGGTGTGTGGTATGATGGAGAGCAGGTGTGGTAATGATGGGGAAAGGTGTGGTTAATGATGGAGAGCAGGTGTGGTAATGATGGGGACAGGTGTTGGTAATGATGGAGGGGCAGGTTTGGTAATGAGGGGGAAACAGGTGTGGTAATGATGGAGACAGTTTTGGTTTAATGATGGGGAACAGGTGTTGGTAAGATGGAGAAGCAGGTGTTGGTAATGATGGAGAGCAGTGTTTGGTAATGATGGAGAGAGGTTTTGGTAATGATGGAGAGCATTTGATGGGAGAGCGTGTTGGTAATGATGGAGAACAGGTGTGGTAATGATGGGACAGGTTTGTTGTAATGATGGAGAGCAGGTGTGGTAATGATGGGGACCAGGTTTTGGAAAATGATGGGAACAGGTGTTGGTTTAATGATGGAGGGCAGGGTGTTGGTAATGATGGAGAGCTGGTGTTGGAAATGATGGAGAGCAGGTGTTGGAAGAGGAGAGCAGGTTTTGGTAATGATGGAGAGCGGGTTTTGGGGTTTAATGATGGGGAACCTTGGGTGTTTTGGTAATGATGGAGACAGGTGTTGGTAATGATGGGGAGAGGGTTTGTGGAATGTGTATGGGGGAGCAGGTTTGTAATGTTTGAGAGCAGGTGTTGGTAATGATGGAGCGCAGGTGTTGGTAATGATGGGGAGCAGGTGTTGGTAATGATGGAGAGCAGGTTTTGGTAATGAGGGGAGCAGGTGTTGGTAATGATGGGGAGCAGGTGTTGGTAATGATGGCGAAAAGGGTGTTGTGTAATGATGGGGAGCAGGTGTTGGTAATGATGGTGCCTGGACCGGTGGTTAGTAGAGGGGGATCGGGAGTAGACATGACCGTGTGGGGTGGAGGGGGTTTTGATAGGCAGAGGACATTTCCGTTTCTCACAAAAATGGACAATGAAGTATCTATTAACAAAAATATAAACGCAACAGTTTCAAAGATTTTTCTGAGTTACAGTTCATATACACTACCAGTCAAAGTTTGGACACACCTACTCATTTATTTGTACATTGTAGAATAATAGTGAAGACATCAAAATATGAAATAACACATATGGAATCATTTTTAGTAACCAAAAAAGTGTTAAACAAATCAAATATATTTATATTTCAAATAGCACCTTTGCCTTTATGACAGCTTGACCTACCTGCCGCCCTGAACAATATATATTACCGCTAGGTTACCTGGCACCCAAACAATATTATTTTCCGCCCAGGTTACCCCGGCACCTCAACAATATTATATTACCGCTAGGTTACCCCCGGCACCCAACATATTATATTACGCTAGGTACCTGGCACCTAACAATATATATCCGCTAGTTACCTGGCCCCCTCAAAATATTAACCGCTAGGTTACCTGGGGACTCAACAATATTATACCGCTAGGTACGGGGACCTCAACAATATTATATACCGAGGGTACCTGGCACCTCAACAAATTATATTACCGCTAGATTACCTGGACCTCAACAAATTATATTTCCGCCCAGGGTTACCTGGCAAACCTCAACAATATTATATTACCTCAGGTTACCTGGCACCTCAACAATATTATATTACCGCTTTAGGTTACCCGGACCTCAAACTTATTATATTACCGCTAGGTTACCTGGCACCTCAACAATATTATATTACCGCTAGGTTACCTGGCACCTCAACAATATTATATTACCGCTAGGTTACCTGGCACCTCAACAATATTATATTACCGCTAGGTTACCTGGCACCTCAACAATATTATATTACCGCTAGGTTACCTGGCACCTCAACAATATTATTTTACCGCTAGGTTACCTGGCACCTCAACAATATTATATTACCGCTAGGTTACCTGGCACCTCAAACAATATTATATTACCGCTAGGTTACCTGGCACCTCAACAATATTTATTACCGCTAGGTTACCTGGCACCTCAACAATATTTTTATTACCGCTAGGTTACCTGGCACCTCAACAATATTATATTACCGCTAGGTTACTGGCACCTCAACAATATTATATTACCGCTAGGTTACCTGGCACCTCAACAATATTATATTACCGCTAGGTTACCTGGCACCTCAACAATATTATATTACCGCTAGGTTACCTGCCGCCCTCAACAATATTATATTACCGCTAGGTTACCTGCCCTCAACAATATTATATTACCGCTAGGTTACCTGGCCCTCAACAATATTATATTACCGCTAGGTTACCTGCCGCCCTCAACAATATTATATTACCGCTAGGTTACCTGGCCCTCAACAATATTATATTACCGCTAGGTTACCTGCCCTCAACAATATTATATTACCGCTAGGTTACCTGCCGCCCTCAACAATATTATATTACCGCTAGGTTACCTGCCCTCAACAATATTATATTGTTATCTGATGTTGTGCTTGGCTGACATTCTGCTTGGCTCTGTTTGTCCTAGGGGGCGTTCCATCCATCGACCCATGTGTACACCCAGATAGACGTGAAGAGGGTGATCGCCCACGCCAGAATCAGAGGCATCAGGGTCCTTGCTGAATTCGACTCCCCGGGACACACCCAGTCATGGGGCAAAGGTAACACTCACACTCCACACACACACACACACACAACACACACACACACACACACACACACACACACACACACCCAGTCATGGGGCAAAGGTAACACTCACACACACACACACACACACACACACACACACACACACACACCCAGTCATGGGGCAAAGGTAACACTCACACACACACACATGGACTTCTGTTTGCTAATTAGATTCATAACATCTTATGTTCTATGCCAGAGGTTCTAATGTCTTATGTAGCTCTCCCCAGGGCGGGCCTCCGACCCCTCGCCCTGGGTGGGTCAGTGGTAAACCCCCGTGAAGGGGTGTGTCCCTACCCCCACCCTTCGCCAGACACCAACCCCGCTAACCCCGGCGCACAACCCAACCCCCCCAAAAACGCGCACACCACCCCAACCCCCACCCCCCGCCCCACACCCAACCCCCCCACCCCCCACCACCCCAAACCCCCCCCACCCTGGGGCACCACCAACCCCCCTCACCCCCCACCCCCACCACCCCAACCCCCCCACCCCGCGCCCACCACCCCAAACCCCCCACCCACCCTTTTCGCGCACCACCCAAACCTCACCCTCTGCCCCACCCTAACCCCCCACCCTTCTCCACCACCAACCCCCCACCCCTCTTCCCACCCCCCCAACCCCCACCCCCTCTCGACCCACCCCTAACCCCCCACCCTCTCGCACCACCCTAACCCCCCACCCCTCTCCCACCACCCCAACCCCCCCACCCCTCTCCCACCACCCAACCCCCCACCCTCTCGGCCCCCACCACCCCTAACCCCCCCCACCCTCTCTCCACCACCCCTAACCCACAACCACCCACCGCAACCACCCCAAACCCCCCCCCCTGCCCCACCACCTAAACCCCCCAACCCACTCGCCACCCAACCCCAACCCCTCCACCGCCACCACACCCCCCCCCCAAAACCCCCCGCACCCACCCAACCCCCAACCCCCAAAAACCCACCACTTAAAAACCGCACTCCAGAACAAAAAACCTAACCCCCCAACCCGCTCTCCCCAAACCATAACCCCACCCCATCCACAAACCCAAAACCCCCAACCCCCGCAAAACCCCTAACCCCCCCAACCCCTCCGGCCACCACCTAAACCCCCCCACCCTCTCCCACCACCCTAACCCCCCCACCCCTCTCGCCAAAAACCCCTACCCCCCCCACCCCTCCCAACACCCAAACCCCCACCCCTTCCCCCCCACCCCTAACCCCCACCACTTCCCCACCACCCAAACCCCCACCCCTCTCGCCACCACCCTTAACCCCCTCACTCCTTCCCACCACCACTAACCCCACCCCTCTCGCTCCCAACCCCCTAACCCCTCACCCCTCTCCAAAACCAACAAAAACCCCCACCCTCTCCAAAACAAAAACCCCAACAAACCTTCTCCACCACCAAAAAAACCACACCACCTCGCACCAACCCCAACCCCAAACACCCTCTCACCCCCACCCCAACCCCCCCTTCTATCCACCACCCTAACCCCCCACCCTATCGCAAAAAACCCCTAACCCCCCACCCTCTCCCACCACCCCTAACCCACCACCCCTCTTCCACCACCCCTAAACCCGTTATCCCCCACCCTCTCTTCCACACCCCTAACACACCCCCACCCCTCTCTCCCAACCCCTCTCCCTAACCCCCCACCCTCTCCCACCACCCTTAACCCCCCACCTCTCGTCCACCACACCTAACCCCCCCACCCCTCTCTCCACCACCCTAACCCCCTCCACCCTATCCCACCCCCTTAACCCCCACCCCTCGTCCACCACCCTAACCCCCGCCCCTCTCTGCGACCCACCCCACCCGACCCGCGACAACCCACCCCGCACCACCCGCGCACCCCCGACCCCCACCCGCGCCCACCACCGGAACCCCCCGCACCCCGCGCGCGACCACCCGAACCCCCACCCCAGCGCACCACCCGGAACCCCCACCCCCCGCGCCCACCACCCCGAACCCCCGCAACCGCGGCCACCACCCGGAACCCCGCACCCCGCGTCGCCACCACCCGGAACCCCCCCACCCAGCGCCACACCCCGAACCCCCTCACCCCCCGCCACCACCCTTAAACCGCTGACCCACGCACCCACACCTTAACCCCCCACCCCTCGTCGCCACCACCCTTAACCCTCACCCCAGCTCGCCACCACCCGAACCCCCCACCCGCCCCACCACCCTTAACCCCTGCACCCCCTGCGCCACCACCCTAACCCCCGCACCCCTGCGTGCACCACCCGTAACCCCCGCACCCCTGCTGCCACACCGGAACCCCGCACCCCCCCACACACCTAACCCGACCCCCCTCAACCCCCCACACCCTCTAACCCAACCACCCTTAACCCCTCACCCTCTCTACACCACCCTAACCCCCCCACCCACTCTCCACACCTTAAACCCCCTCACCCCTCTCCACCACCCTTAACCCCCTGACCCCTCTATCCACCACCCCTTAACCCCCTCACCCCTCTCGCCACCACCCTTAACCCCCTCACCCCATCTCTCCACCACCCGTAACCCCCCACCCAGCCGCCACCACCCGTAACCCCCCACCCCTACTCCGACCACCCCTAACCAGCCCCACCCCGTCTCACCACCCATGAACCCCCTCACCCCATATCGCCCACCACCTTAACCCCCTCACCCCTCTCTCCACCCACCCTAAACCCCGGCACCCCTCTCCACACCCTTAACCCCCTCACCCCTCTCTCCACCACACCTTAACCCCCTCACCCATCTCCACCACCCTTAAACCCTCACCCCTACTCTCACCACCCTTAACCCCCTCACCCATCTCTCCACCACCCTTAACCCCCTCACCCATCTCTCCACCACCCTTAACCACCTCACCCATCTCTCCACCACCCTTAACCCCCTCACCCCTCTCTCCCCAGGACAGCCCGGCCTCCTGACCCCATGCTATAAGGGCACAGTTCCCACTGGGACGTTTGGTCCAGTGAACCCAGCAAACCCCTCCAGCTACCAGTTCATGACCCGCCTATTTAAAGAGGTCACCTCAGTGTTTCCTGACTCTTACATTCACCTGGGAGGGGACGAGGTCGACTTCACCTGCTGGTAGGTTGATTTGAACTTTATTAACTGTTGACATTTTTTGAAAAGTGAAGCGATATATATATACAGTATATCAAAAAGTTGTGTATCTCTTGATGCTGTGAGGACATAATTTTTTCTACTTTTCAGTTAGTTTGTTTTGTTGAGAAATGTGAAGAGGGGCATCCGTTAAAGTAAATCTAATTTGAATTCCCCATTAGTTCCTGCCAAGGCAGCAGCTACTCTTCCTGGGGTTTATTATGGATCCCCATTAGTTCCTGCCAAGGCAGCAGCTACTCTTCCTGGGGTTATTATGGATCCCCATTAGTTCCTGCCAAGGCAGCAAGCTACTCTTCCTGGGGTTTATTATGGATCCCCATTAGTTCCTGCCAAGGCAGCAGCTACTCTTCCTGGGGTTTATTATGGATCCCCATTAGTTCCTGCCAAGGCAGCAGCTACTCTTCCTGGGGTTTATTATGGATCACCATTAGTTCCTGCCAAGGCAGCAGCTACTCTTCCTGGGGTTTATTATGGATCCCCATTAGTTCCTGCCAAGGCAGCAGCTACTCTTCCTGGGGTTTATTATGGATCCCCATTAGTTCCTGCCAAGGCAGCAGCTACTCTTCCTGGGGTTTATTATGGATCCTCATTAGTTCCTGCCAAGGCAGCAGCTACTCTTCCTGGGGTCCAAACACATTAAGGCACTTAAATTACATATAAAACAGAAGATAAAACAGTACATCATATAACATTATTACACCACTACATATCTACAATACAAAATATATTATACCACCATACAACAATATCACAATGTACATGTGTGTGTAGAGTGGGTTCTGGCGCTTAAGAACACCTGCTCTTTCAGGACAGACTGACAAGGTGAATCCAGGTTAAAGTTATGATCCCTTATTGATGTCACTTGTTAAATCCACTTAAATCAGATGAAGGGGAGGAGATGGGTTAAAGAAGGATTTTTTAAGCCTTGAGACAATTTATTAATTTATTTTATTTAACCTTTATTTAACCAGGTAAGCCAGTTGAGAACAAGTTCTCATTTACAACTGCGACCTGGCCAAGATAAAGCAAAGCAGTGCGATAAAAACAACAACACAGAGTTACATATGGGGTAAACAAAACGTACAGTCAATAACACAATAGAAAATGATAGATGTGCAGAAGATGACGTGCAAATAGAGATACTGGGGTGCAAATGAGCAAAATAAATAACAATGTAAATAACAATATGGGAATGAGGATTGAGACATGGATTGTGTATGTGTGCCATTCAGAAAGACAAAAGATTTAAGTGCCTTTGAACGGGGTATGGTAGTAGGTGCCAGGCGCACCGGTTTGAGTGTGTCAAGAACTGCAACGCTGCTGGGTTTTTCACGCTTAACAGTTTCCCGTGTGTATCAAGAATGGTCCACCACCCAAAGGACATCCAGCCAACTTGACACAACTGGGACGCATTGGAGTCAACATGGGCCAGCATCCCTGTGGAACGCTTTCGACACCTTGTAGAGTCCATGCCCTGACGAATTGAGGCTGTTCTGAGGGCAAAAGGAGGGTGGGGGGGGGTTTGGTTTTCTAGGTGTATGTCCCTGTAATAAGTGACGTATTGAATACATAACCGTCAGATCTATTGTACTTTATTTTGCACACATTTCCAGGGGTGTATTCATTATGCCGTGTCTGTTGCGAAACGGTTTTGTGAAAATGGAAGCAAACAGAACGAAACAGGGAGGGACTTACCTGAATTTGTCCAATAGAAACTCTCGTTTTAGTTCCGTTTGCAACAGAATCGGCAGAATAAATACACCCCAGTACTTGACCCTAGAATTATCAGATTGTAAATGTGTTGTTTCTCACAGGAAGTCCAACCCTGATGTCCGAGGCTTCATGCTGAAGATGGGGTTCGGAACTGACTACACCAAACTGGAATCGTACTACATGGAAAAGTTAGTGGACAAAACAAATACAAAAATGGAGACCTGTTTGGTGACAGACAGAGCAACCAGACAGACAGACAGACAGACAGACAGACAGACAGATAGAGCAACAAGACAGACAGATAGAGCAACAAGACAGACAGACAGACAGACAGAGCAACAAGACAGACAGACAGACAGACAGAGCAACAAGACAGACAGACAGACAGACAGACAGAGCAACAAGACAGACAGACAGAGCAACAAGACAGACAGACAGACAGAGCAACAAGACAGACAGACAGAGCAACAAGACAGACAGACAGAGCAACAAGACAGACAGACAGACAGAGCAACAAGACAGACAGACAGACTGACAGACAGAGCAACAAGACAGACAGACTGACAGACAGAGCAACAAGACAGACAGACTGACAGACAGAGCAACAAGACAGACAGACTGACAGACAGAGCAACAAGACAGACAGACTGACAGACAGAGCAACAAGACAGACAGACTGACAGACAGAGCAACAAGACAGACAGACAGACAGACAGACAGACATACAGACAGACAGACAGACAGAGCAACAAGACAGACAGACTGACAGACAGAGCAACAAGACAGACAGACTGACAGACAGAGCAACAAGACAGACAGACTGACAGACAGAGCAACAGGATAGACAGACAGACAGACAGACAGACAGAGCAACAAGACAGACAGATAGACAGAGCAACAAGACAGACAGATAGACAGAGCAACAAGACAGACAGACAGACAGACTGACTGACAGACAGACAGACAGAGCAACAAGACAGACAGATAGACAGAGCAACAAGACAGACAGACAGACATACAGAGCAACAAGACAGACTGACAGACAGACTGACAGAGCAACAAGACAGACAGACAGACAGAGCAACAAGACAGACACACAGACAGAGCAACAAGACAGACAGACAGACAGACAGACAGACAGACAGACAGACTGACAGAGCAACAAGACAGACAGACAGACTGACAGACAGAGCAACAAGACAGACAGACTGACAGACAGAGCAACAAGACAGACAGGACTGACAGGACAGAGCAACAAGACAGACAGACTGACAGACAGAGCAACAAGACAGACAGACTGACAGACAGAGCAACAAGACAGACAGACTGACAGACAGAGCAACAAGACAGACAGACAGACAGACAGACAGACAGACAGACAGACAGACAGACAGACAGAGCAACAAGACAGACAGACTGACAGACAGAGCAACAAGACAGACAGACTGACAGACAGAGCAACAGGATAGACAGACAGACAGACAGAGCAACAAGACAGACAGAGCAACAAGACAGACTGACAGACAGAGCAACAGGATAGACAGACAGACAGACAGAACCAGACAGACAGACAGACAGACAGAGCAACAAGACAGACAGATAGACAGAGCAACAAGACAGACAGACAGACATACAGAGCAACAAGACAGACTGACAGACAGACTGACAGAGCAACAAGACAGACAGACAGACAGACAGAGCAACAAGACAGACACACAGACAGAGCAACAAGACAGACAGACAGACAGACAGACTGACAGACAGAGCAACAAGACAGACAGACAGACAGACAGACAGAGCAACAAGACAGACACACAGACAGAGCAACAAGACAGACAGACAGACAGACAGACAGACTGACAGACAGAGCAACAAGACAGACAGACAGACTGACAGACAGAGCAACAAGACAGACAGACAGACAGACAGACAGAGCAACAAGACAGACAGACAGACTGACAGACAGAGCAACAAGACAGACAGACTGACAGACAGAGCAACAAGACAGACAGAAATACACGGGAACAATTGACACCATTTATTTCCAAGATAATGAAATGAAAGTAGGCCGTAGTGATGAGCTGCTCTGGACTGTTGGACCTGGTATGTTACTGATGCTATGGAGGTCTGTGTGTTTGGATCTTCCAGCATGGTGAACATTACTAAGGGACTCAAGAAGACAGCCATAGTCTGGCAGGACGTGTTTGACTACCATGAAAAAGTAAGTAAAAGGGAAACACCCAATATAGGGTTTTTACCGGGAAATCCCCCCAAAGGGAAAAAAACCCCAGATAATATGGTTTTTCCCTGGATCCCCCCAATGAAAAAACCCCCAGTTTCATAGGTCTTTACCGGGGATCACCCAAATGTAAAAAACCCAGACCCATATGGCCTTACCTGGATCCCCCCTAATTTTAAAAAAACCCCGATCATATGGTCTTTACCTGGTCCCCCCTAATGTAAACCCCAGTTTCATAGGTCTTTCCCGGACCCCTAATGTAAACCCCCAGATCAATGGTCTTTACCTGGATCGCCCTCCAATTTTTAAACCCCCCAGATCTTTGGGTTTTACCGGGATCACCCTAATGAAAAAACACCCAGTTTCATATGGTTTTTCCTGGACCCGCCCAAAATGAAAAAAACCACCCCCCCCCCAGATAATATGGTTTTTTTCCTGGATGCCCAAAAGGAAAAAAACCCAGATTTTATGGTCTTCCCGGGATGCCCTAATGTAAACCCCCAAAGATCATTTGGTCTTTACCGGATCCCCTTAATGAAAACCCCCAGTATAGGGTTTCTTTCCCTGGATCGCCCTAATGTAAAACCAGATCTTTGGGCCCTTTCCCTGGTTTTCCCCCCTCCTAATGTAAACCCCCAGAAATATGGTCTTTCCCTGGATCGCCCTAATGTAAACACCCGGGATATATGGTTTTAAAACCGGGGATCCCCTTTAAGGGAAAACACCCAGATCATAGGGTTTCTTTACCTGGATCCCCCCCTAATGAAAACACCCAGACATATGGCCCTTTCCGGGGAGCCCTAATGAAAAAACCCAGATCATATGGTTTTTTACCTGGATCGCCCTAAGGGTTAAAAACCCAGTTTCTAGGGTCTTTCCCTGGATCCCCCCTAATGAAAAACACCCAATCATATGGTTTTTTTAACCGGGGATCCCCCCCTAATGTAAACACCCAGATAATATGGTCTTTACCGGGGATCACCCAAAGGGTAAAAACCCCCCGAATAGGGTCTTTCCCGGGGGATACCCTAATGAAAACACCCAGATCATAGGGTTTCTTTACCTAAAACCCCTAATGAAAACCCCCCAAAATCAAGGGGTTTTTACCGGGATGGGCCCTAAGGGAAACACCCAAAAAATTGGTTTTTACCTGGATCGCCCTAATGTAAAAAAAACCAAAAGATTTTTGGGGCTTTACCTGGATCCCCCTTTAATGTAAACACCCAGATAAATGGTTTCCGGATCCCCCTTAATGAAAAACACCCGATCTTTATGGTTTTTCCCTGGATCGCCCAAAATTTGTAAACACCCAGATATATGGTCTTTACCGGATCCCCCCTAATGTAAACACCCAAAAAAATAAAAAATTTATGGTTTTTTCCCTTTTGGTTCCCCTTTTTTTTTAAACCCCCCCCCAATTTTCCTTTCCTTTTCCCCCCCCCTTTAATTAAACACCCAGATAATAGGTTTTTCCCTGTATCCCCCCTAATGTAAAAAACCCGTTTAATAGGGTTTTTTCCCGGGTTTCCCCCTAAGGGAAACCCCCAAGTTTTATATGGTTTTACCTGGACCCCCCTTTTAAAACACCCAGACATATGGTTTTTTACCTGGATCGCCAAATTTGAAAAAAACCCCCAGATCATATGGTCTGCCCCTGGATCCCCCCTAATGTAAACACCCGTAATTGGTTTTTCCCTGGACCCCCAAGGGAAACCCCACCCAGTTCATAGGGTTTTTTACCTGGCCCCCCTTTAATGTAAAAACCCAGATCATAGGTTTTCAAAAACCGGGATGCCTAATATAAACCCCCCAGATCATATGGTTTTTTACCGGGATCCCCCAAATGAAAAACACCCAGTTTCTATGGTTTTTACCGGGTCCCCCCCAAATTTGAAAAAAACCAGTTTCATTGGTTTTTAAACCGGATGCCCTTTAAACCCCCGGGACATAGGTTTTTACCTGGTTTGGGCCCAAAATTGTAAACCCCCCAGATCATATGGTCTTTACCGGATCGCCCAAATTTGAAAAACCCCCCAGATCTTTATGGTCTTGCCCTGGATCCCCCTTTAATGTAAACCCCCGTTCATATGGTTTTACCGGTTTCGCCCTAAGGGAAACCCCCAGATTTTATGGTTTTTCCCCGGGGATCCCCCTTTAATGTAAACACCCAGTTTATATGGTTTTACCTGAAAACCCCCTTTTAATTTTAAAAACCCCAAAGCCCATATGGTCTTTACCTGTATCACCCTAATGTAAACACCCAGATAAATTGGTCTTTCCCTGGAACCCTAATGTAAACACCCAGATCATAGGGTTTTTACCTGGACGCCCTAATGAAAAAACCCCCAGTCAAGGGTTTTCCCTTTACCTGGATCCCCCTTTAAGTAAAAACCCAGATCATATGGTTTTTCCCGGGGATCGCCCTAAGTAAAACCCCCAGATCAATGGTCTTTCCCGGGGAATCCCCCAAATGTAAAACCCAGTTTTCATATGGTTTTTCCCTGGATCGCCCTAATGAAAACCCCCCGGATATTTTGGCTTTACCTGGTTTGGGCCCTAATGTAAACCCCCCAGATCATAGGGTCTTTACCTGGATGCCTAATGAAAAAACCCAGACCCATAGGGTCTTTTTACCTGGATCGCCCTTTATGAAAAACCCCCGATCATAGGTTTTTCCCTGGTCCCCCAAGTAAAACCCAGACATATGGTTTTTACCTGGATCCCCCTTTAATGTAAACACCCAGATCATAGGGTTTTAGGATCCCCCAAATGTAAACACCCGGGGTCAAGGGTTTTCCCCCGGGGGTCACCCTAATTTTTAAACCCCAGGTCATTTTGGTTTTTCCCTGGTCACCCTAATATAAACCCCCCCGGGGCATAGGGTTTTTACCTGGATCTACCCAAATGTAAAAACCCGGGATCATATGGTTTTTACCGGGGATCCCCCTAATGAAAAACACCCAGTTCATAGGGGCTTTTCCCGGGATCCCCCTTTAATGTAAACACCCAGACATAGGGTTTTTACCGGAAACCCCCCTAATGTAAACACCCAGATCTTTTGGGTCTTTACCGGGATACCCTAAGAAAAACACCCAGATCATATGGTTTTTCCCGGAAAAAAACCCAATGAAAACACCCGATATATGGTCTTTACCGGATCCCCCAAAATTGTAAACCCCCAGTATATGGTCTTTACCTGGATCGCCCTAATGAAAACCCCACCCAGTTTATAGGGTTTCTTTACCTGGCGCCCTAATGTAAAACCCCCCAGATATATGGCCTTTACCGGGTTTCCCCCTAATGTAAAAAACCCAAAATTCATAGGTCTTTACCGGATCGCCCTAATGAAAAACCACCCAGTTTCATATGGTCTTTCCCCGGGATCGCCCAAATTAAAAAACCCCAATAATATGGTTTTTTCCCCTGGATCGCCCAAATTTGTAAACACCCAGATCATATGGTTTTACCTGGTTTCCCCCCTTAAGAAAAAACCCCCAAAGATCATAGGGGTTTTTCCCGGGATCGCCCAATTGTAAAAAACCCAATCATATGGTCTTTCCCTGGTCCCCCTAATGTAAACCCCAAAGGCATATGGTCTTTACCGGACGCCCTAATGTAAAACACCCAGGTCATTTTGGTCTTTACCGGGATCGCCCTAATGAAAAACACCCATGTCATATGGTTTTTCCTGGATCCCCCGTAATGTAAACACCCAGGTCTTTATGGTCTTTACCTGGATCACCCCTAATGAAAAAACACCCAGACCATATGGTCTTTACCTGGATCCCCCCTAATTTTAAACCCCCAGATCTTTATGGTTTTTACCGGGTAACCCAAATTTGTAAAAACCCAGACATATGGTTTTTAACCGGGAAATACCCTAATGAAACCCCAGTTTAAAAATGGTATTTTTAACTGGACCCACCCTAATTAAAAAACCCAGATCTTTTGGTCTTTACCGGGATCACCCAATGTAAAAAACCCAGATCAAGGGTTCTTTCCCGGTTTCACCCAAAGTAAACACCCAGATCGGGGGGTCTTTACCGGGGATCCCCCTTTAATGAAAAAACCCCCCCCAAAAACCAATTTGGTTTTTCCCTTTGGTCGCCCTAATGAAAACCCACCCAGATCAATGGTCTTTCCCTTATCCCCCTAATGTAAACCCCCAGATCATATGGTTTTTACCGGGGTTTCCCCCCCAAATGTAAAAACCCAGACAGGGGGTTTTTTTCCCTGGATCCCCCCCTAATAAAAAAAACCCGGGAATATAGGTTTTTCCCTTTGGATCGCCCTAATGTAAACACCCAGATCATATGGTCTTTACCTGGATCGCCCTAATGTAAACACCCAGAATCATATGGTCTTTTACCTGGATCGCCCCTAATGTAAACACCCAGATCATATGGTCTTTACCTGGATCGCCCCTAATGTAAACACCCAGATCATATGGTCTGTACCTGGATCGCCATAATGTAAACACCCAATCATATGGTCTTTACCTGGATCGCCCCTAATGTAAACACCCAGATATATGGTCTTTACCTGGATCGCCCTAATGTAAACACCCAGATCATATGGTCTTTACCTGGATCGCCCTAATGTAAACACCCAGATCATATGGTCTTTACCTGGATCGCCCTAATGTAAACACCCAGATCATATGGTCTTTACCTGTATCGCCCTAATGTAAACACCCAGATCATATGGTCTTTACCTGGATCGCCCTAATGTAAACACCCAGATCATATGGTCTTTACCTGGATCGCCCTAATGTAAACACCCAGATCATATGGTCTTTACCTGGATCGCCCTAATGTAAACACCCAGATCATATGGTCTTTACCTGGATCACCCTAATGTAAACACCCAGATCATATGGTCTTTACCTGGATCACCCTAATGTAAACACCCAGATCATATGGTCTTTACCTGGATCACCCTAATGTAAACACCCAGATCATATGGTCTTTACCTGTATCACCCTAATGTAAACACCCAGATCATAGGTCTTTACTGGATCACCCTAATGTAAACACCCCAGATCATATGGTCTTACCTGTATCACCCTAATGTTAACACCAGATCATATGGTCTTACCTGGATCACCCTAATATAAACACCCAGATCATATGGTCTTTACCTGGATCACCCTAATGTAAACACCCAGATCATATGGTCTTTACCTGGATCACCCTAATGTAAACACCCAGATCATATGGTCTTTAACTGGATCACCCTAATGTAAACACCCAGATCATATGGTCTTTACCTGGATCACCCTAATGTAAACACCCAGATCATATGGTCTTTACCTGGATCGCCCTAATGTAAACACCCAGATCATATGGTCTTTACCTGGATCGCCCTAATGTAAACACCCAGATCATATGGTCTTTACCTGGATCACCCTAATGTAAACACCCAGACACTTACCAGGTCTAATTACATATGATTAGACTAGGGTTCTCTAGGCCGGTTTCTCTAGGCCGGGTTCTCTAGGCCGGGTTCTCTAGGCCGGGTTCTCTAGGCCGGTTTCTCTAGGCCGGGTTCTCTAGGCCGGGTTCTCTAGGCCGGGTTCTCTAGGCCAGGTTCTCTAGGCCGGGTTCTCTAGGCCAGGTTCTCTAGGCTGTTTCTCCTGATGGGCTAGAATGAGTAGAAGTAGATCTCAACTAGGGTTCTCTGCTCCTTGGTCTGTTACTAGACAGATGGTGCAGTCAGTAGGCTGTTTCCCCTGATGGGCGAGAGCAGGGTTTCCCAAACTCCCACCTGGGTGCACCTTTTAGTTTTTTGCCCTAGCACTACACAGCTGATTCAAATAATCAATGCTTGATGATGAGTAGGTTATTTTAATCTGTTGTGTAGTGCTAGGTTAAAAACTAAAGGGACCCAGGTGGGGGGCTCCCGGACCGAGTTTGGGAAACGCTGGGCTAGACTAGAGCGTTGGTTGTGTTTCAGCTGTGTTGCAGCTCTCTGTCAGTGGTGGAGGTGTGGAAAGGAGGATGCTACCTGTGTGAGGTCCGCAGGGTGACCAAGGCAGGCCTCAGGGTCGTCCTGGCCTCTCCTTGGTACCTAGACCAGCCTGGACCTACTCATGACTGGGCTAGATACTACACCATCTGGCCCCTTGCTTTCAAGGGTTAGAACCTCTTAACTAGTGTGGAGTGGAACAGTGTGGAGTGGAGTGGAGTGAATAGTGTGGAGTGAATAGTGTGGAGTGAATAGTGTGGAGTGGAGTGAATAGTGTGGAGTGGAGTGAATAGTGTGGAGTGGGAAAGTGTAACAGTTTGCAGTGAAGAAAAGTGCAGTATGCAGTTAACTATTAGATTTTTGTTGTGATCAAATGTTTTTCATAGTAATAATAATCGTTGTCATCCACTCAGATCTAAGAGATCAAATTAAATAAACACACAAGGATCAGAAAAACTCAAAGCAACATGTCACAAAGTGTTTTAGCGGCAATAAGCCATTGGAGAGTTAGGGGAGAGTGGGGTAAAACTATTAACAGTGAATAACGTGTTGTCTAGTTGGAATATGTATAGGGGAGAGTGGGGTAAAACTATTAACAGGGAATAACGTGTTGTCTAGTTGGAATATGTATAGGGGAGAGTGGGGTAAAACTATTAACAGGGAATAATGTGTTGTCTAGTTGGAATATGTATAGGGGAGAGTGGGGTAAAACTATTAACAGTGAATAATGTGTTGTCTAGTTGAATATGTATAGGGGAGAGTGGGGTAAAACTATTAACAGGGAATAATGTGTTGTCTAGTTGGAATATGTATAGGGGAGAGTGGGGTAAAACTATTAACAGTGAATAACGTGTTGTCTAGTTGGAATATGTATAGGGGAGAGTGGGGTAAAACTATTAACAGGGAATAATGTGTTGTCTAGTTGGAATATGTATAGGGGAGAGTGGGGTAAAACTATTAACAGTGAATAACGTGTTGTCTAGTTGGAATATGTATAGGGGAGAGTGGGGTAAAAACTATTAACAGTGAATAATGTGTTGTCTAGTTGGAATATGTATAGGGGAGAGTGGGGTAAAACTATTAACAGTGAATAGTGTGTTGTGTAGTTGAATATGTATAGGGGAGAGTGGGGTAAAACTATTAACAGGGAATAATGTGTTGTCTAGTTGGAATATGTATAGGGGAGAGTGGGGTAAAACTATTAACAGTGAATAATGTGTTGTCTAGTTGAATATGTATAGGGGAGAGTGGGGTAAAACTATTAACAGGGAATAATGTGTTGTCTAGTTGGAATATGTATAGGGGAGAGTGGGGTAAAACTATTAACAGTGAATAACGTGTTGTCTAGTTGGAATATGTATAGGGGAGAGTGGGGTAAAACTATTAACAGGGAATAATGTGTTGTCTAGTTGGAATATGTATAGGGGAGAGTGGGGTAAAACTATTAACAGGGAATAACGTGTTGTCTAGTTGGAATATGTATAGGGGAGAGTGGGGTAAAACTATTAACAGGGAATAATGTGTTGTCTAGTTGGAATATGTATAGGGGAGAGTGGGGTAAAACTATTAACAGTGAATAGTGTGTTGTGTAGTTGAATATGTATAGGGGAGAGTGGGGTAAAACTATTAACAGGGAATAATGTGTTGTCTAGTTGGAATATGTATAGGGGAGAGTGGGGTAAAACTAATAACAGTGAATAACGTGTAGTCTAGTTGGAATATGTATAGGGGAGAGTGGGGTAAAACTATTAACAGGGAATAATGTGTTGTCTAGTTGGAATATGTATAGGGGAGAGTGGGGTAAAACTATTAACAGTGAATAACGTGTTGTCTAGTTGGAATATGTATAGGGGAGAGTGGGGTAAAACTATTAACAGGGAATAATGTGTTGTCTAGTTGGAATATGTATAGGGGAGAGTGGGGTAAAACTAATAACAGTGAATAACGTGTTGTCTAGTTGGAATATGTATAGGGGAGAGTGGGGTAAAACTATTAGCAGTGAATAATGTGTTGTCTAGTTGGAATATGTATAGGGGAGAGTGGGGTAAAACTAATAACAGTGAATAACGTGTTGTCTAGTTGGAATATGTATAGGGGAGAGTGGGGTAAAACTATTAACAGGGAATAATGTGTTGTCTAGTTGGAATATGTATAGGGGAGAGTGGGGTAAAACTATTAACAGTGAATAACGTGTTGTCTAGTTGGAATATGTATAGGGGAGAGTGGGGTAAAACTATTAACAGTGAATAATGTGTTGTCTAGTTGGAATATGTATAGGGGAGAGTGGGGGTAAAACTATTAACAGTGAATAATGTGTTGTCTAGTTGGGATATGTATAGGGGAGAGTGGGGTAAAACTAATAACAGTGAATAACGTGTTGTCTAGTTGGAATATGTATAGGGGAGAGTGGGGTAAAACTATTAACAGTGAATAATGTGTTGTCTAGTTGGAATATGTATAGGGGAGAGTGGGGTAAAACTATTAACAGTGAATAATGTGTTGTCTAGTTGGAATATGTATAGGGGAGAGTGGGGTAAAACTAATAACAGTGAATAACGTGTTGTCTAGTTGGAATATGTATAGGGGAGAGTGGGGTAAAACTATTAACAGGGAATAATGTGTTGTCTAGTTGGAATATGTATAGGGGAGAGTGGGGTAAAACTATTAACAGGGAATAACGTGTTGTCTAGTTGGAATATGTATAGGGGAGAGTGGGGTAAAACTATTAACAGGGAATAACGTGTTGTCTAGTTGGAATATGTATAGGGGAGAGTGGGGTAAAACTATTAACAGGGAATAATGTGTTGTCTAGTTGGAATATGTATAGGGGAGAGTGGGGTAAAACTATTAACAGGGAATAACGTGTTGTCTAGTTGGAATATGTATAGGGGAGAGTGGGATAAGTTGAGCCAAAGGGGTAAGTTGAGCCACCTTTGTTTATAGGAAACCAAACACAAAATGTATAATTTTATAAAATATTTAGGAATCGTGAAGGAAACCACATGGTAAAAGTGGTAAGCAAGTTAGGTCCAAAAATACTGATTTTCCCCAAGTCAAATGATTTTATCAAATCAATTGTGTTACAGGTTTCATGATGCTTGTATCTAAAGTAAATAATTGTAAGATTGTTCTATACATCGATTGGGGTCTCTATAAGTTTCAATATGAGGTCCTAAACCTAGCATGAAAGTGCATCTTTGTAGCTGTGTGGGATAATATAGTCAAAATGTTTGCCTTGGGGTAAGATGAGCCAATGGTTGAGCCAATGGTTGAGCCAATGGTTGAGCCAATGGTTGAGCCAATGGTTGAGCCAATGGTTGAGCAAGTTGAAGTGTTTTCTTCCCACGTGTAATGCTCGGCGTTATCGCTGGGATATGAGGTAACAACAGGGACTGTTAAAAGTGTTTGTTAGGTTTTAAATGTTAAAACGATTAATAGTCTCACAAAAAACACTGGGTACAGTCGTCCATTCAATGTCTATTCCACGTTGGTTCCATGTAATTTCATTGAATGACGTGGAAACAACGTTGATTCAACCAGTTTGTGCCCAGTGGGAAGTGATTGTGTTGAATTATGTTTGGGAAATAAAGATAGATGTGGTTTAGAAAGGTAGTGGCAATATTTCATTCAGTACAGAGATTTGTAGGCGGCTTAGTTATTGTTACCACTGGGTAGGATCCGGTACTTTCCAGGTAGTTATTGTTACCACTGGGTAGGATCCGGTACTTTCCAGGTAGTTATTGTTACCACTGGGTAGGATCCAGTACTTTCCAGGTAGTTATTGTTACCACTGGGTAGGATCCAGTACTTTCCAGGTAGTTATTGTTACCACTGGGTAGGATCCCTCCCACTCTAGAGTGCTCTGGAGCTCAGACGCAATGATTGGATAACCAACGTTTCAACAGCCAAGCTGTCTTCATCAGAGTATAATGTACATTCTACAGATATTTTACATACATGGCACTTTTTTTCAAAGTAGTTACATAGAAAGAATAAAGTAATTTGTTATACATTACATTTGAGTGGCGAGTGGCACAGTGGTCTAAGGCACTGCATCGCAGTGCTAGCTGTGCCACTAGAGATCCTGGTTCGAATCCAGGCTCTGTCGTAACCGGCCGCGACCGGGAGACCCATGGGGCGGCGCACAATTGGTCCAGGGTAGGGGAGGGAATGGCCGGCAGGGGTGTAGCTCAGTTGGTAGAGCATGGCGTTTGCAATGCCAGGGTTGTGGGTTTGATTCCCATGGGGGGCCAGTATAAAAAAATAATGTATGCACTCACTAACTGTAAGTCGCTCTGGATAAGAGCGTCTGCTAAATGACTAAAAAAAATTAAAAAAATTATAACTATTCTAGAAGGTGAGCTGTTAAACCCACCCCTCAGCTAACAGGTAAAGGAGCCTAGTGCAAGCTAGAACACTGGCAGGCAACAAGACAGACAGACAGGACAGGCAGGCAGGCAACAGGACAGACCGACAGGCAGGACAGGCAGACAGACAGGACAGACAGGACAGGCAGGCAGGCAACAGGACAGACCAACAGGCAACAGAACAGAAGGCGGGCAACAGGACAGACTGACAGGCAGACTGACAGGCAGGTAGGCAACAGGACAGACAGGCAGGCAACAGAACAGACAGGCAGGCAACAGGACAGACTGACAGGCAGACTGACATGCAGACAGGCAGGCAACAGGACAGACTGACATGCAGACAGGCAGGCAACAGGACAGACAGACAGACAGGCAACAGGACAGACTGACAGGCAGACTGACATGCAGACAGGCAGGCAACAGGACAGACTGACAGGCAGACTGACATGCAGACAGGCAGGCAACCGGACAGACTGACATGCAGACAGGCAGGCAACAGGACAGACAGACAGACAGGCAGGCAACAGGACAGACTGACAGGCAGACTGACATGCAGACAGGCAGGCAACAGGACAGACTGACAGGCAGACTGACATGCAGACAGGCAGGCAACAGGACAGACTGACATGCAGACAGGCAGGCAACAGGACAGACTGACAGGCAGACTGACATGCAGACAGGCAGGCAACAGGACAGACTGACATGCAGGCAGGCATGCAACAAGACAGGCTGACAGACAGACTGACCCCAAGGCAGGAGGCTGACCCCACAGAAAGCCACACTCGATAGACAGTGCAGTAGTGGCACTGGCAACATTGGCTTTTCCTCAATTCCTCTTTCCTTAATTCCTCCCATCCTCTCACCTCGTATCCTTCTCATTGGTGGTGAAGATCAGAGGGGCGGGACCTTAGATTGGATCTTCTCCAATGTGTTTTGTGATGGAGGCAAAGATAGAGAATACAAGGAATGAAGGAAAGGCCAATGTTGGTTGTACCCCTGAATGTTGGTTAAAAGGATCTACCAAACATGTGGAACATCAAGATCTTTTCTACCCTGCCTCAGATCCCAGTGGACACGGTGCTCCACATCTGGAAGGGTAGCCCAAGCCAGATACAACAGGAGCTGAGTAGCATCACCCTGGCTGGGTACAGGGTCATACTGGCCGCCCCCTGGTACATCAACCACATCGCCTACGGACAGGACTGGACCAGATACTACACCATACTGCCACTCAACTTCACTGGTGTGTGCAGAGGCCGGTGTCAAATCACTGAACAGGTTCATTGTAATGGCGGGAATGAAATGAGTGGAACGGTATCAAATTGATGTGTTCAAAAGGTATCAAATAAATTGAAAAAAGGTAACAAATTGATACCTTTCCATTTATTCAATTTCAGCCAATGGGGCCGTCCTCTGATTTGATCCCCCAGCAGCCTCCACTACTGCTGCACACTGGGAAGGGGCATGGCAGGGGCATGGAAGGGGCATGGCAGGGGCATGGAAGGGGCATGGCAGGGGCATAGAAGGGGCATGGCAGGGGCATGGAAGGGGCATGGAAGGGGCATGGCAGGGGCATGGCAGGGGCATGGAAGGGGCATGGAAGGGGCATGGCAGGGGCATGGCAGGGGCATGGAAGGGGCATGGAAGGGGCATGGCAGGGGCATGGCAGGGGCATAGAAGGGGCATGGAAGGGGCATGGCTGGCACTGTAGGGGAAGGGGCATGGCAGGGGCATGGCAGGGGCATGGAGGGGCATGGCTGGCACTGTAGGGGAAGGGGCATGGAAGGGGCATGGCAGGGGCATGGCAGGGGCATGGAAGGGGCATGGAAGGGGCATGGAAGGGGCATGGCAGGGGCATAGAAGGGGCATGGAAGGGGCATGGCAGGGGCATGGAAGGGGCATGGAAGGGGCATGGCTGGCACTGTAGGGGAAGGGGCATGGAAGGGGCATGGAAGGGGCATGGCTGGCACTGTAGGGGAGGGGCATGGAAGGCTTGTTGGAAAGGTGGCGTCCTATGATGGTGCCACATTGAAAGTCACTGAGCTCTTCAGTCAGGCCATTCTACTGCTAATGTTTGTCTATGGAGATTGCATGGCTGTGTGCTCGATTTTATACACCTGTCAGCAACCGGTGTTGCTGAAATAGCCAAATCCACTAATTTGAAGGGGTGTCCACATACTTTTGCATAGATTGTGTATGTGTGCTGTGTTGTGTCGTGTTGTGCTGTGTTGTGTCGTGTCGTGCCGTGTTGTGCCGTGTTGTGCCGTGTTGTAACGTTGTGTCGTGTTGTAACGTCGTGTCGTTCCGTGTCGTGGGCAGGTGCAGTATGTACGGTCTTATGTACTTTACCTCCACAGGTACAGAGCAGCAGAAGAAACTGGTGATTGGTGGAGAGGTGTGCATGTGGGGAGAATATGTTGATGCTACCAACCTCTCTCCTCGTCTCTGGTAAATATAAAATACATTGTGTGAGTCCAAATAGCTGATATATTATATGATATATATGATATGATATTATATTATATATTATTATATTATATCATATATTATTATATTATATCATATATTATATATATTATATTATATATATTCCTGATATAGTGCACTACTTTTGACCAGAGCCCATTTTTCAAACAGACATAATAACAAAAACAGGCAATCTAAATACAGTAACAGTCTTAACTAAATACAGTAACAGTCTGTTAACTAAATACAGTAACAGCATGTTAACTAAATACAGTAACAGTCTGTTAACTAAATACAGTAACAGTCTGTTAACTAAATACAGTAACAGCATGTTAACTAAATACAGTAACAGCATGTTAACTAAATACAGTAACAGCATGTTAACTAAATACAGTAAAAGTCTGTTAACTAAACACAGTAACAGTCTGTTAACTAAATACAGTAACAGCATGTTAACTAAATACAGTAACAGCATGTTAACTAAATACAGTAAGTCTGTTAACTAAATACAGTAACAGCATGTTAACTAAATACAGTAACAGCATGTTAACTAAATACAGTAACAGCATGTTAACTAAATACAGTAACAGCATGTTAACTAAATACAGTAACAGCATGTTGACTAAATACAGTAACAGCATGTTAACTAAATACAGTAACAGTATGTTAACTAAATACAGTAACAGCATGTTAACTAAATACAGTAACAGTATGTTAACTAAATACAGTAACAGCATGTTAACTAAATACAGTAACAGTCTGTTAACTAAATACAGTAACAGCATGTTAACTAAATACAGTAACAGTCTGTTAACTAAATACAGTAACAGCCTGTTAACTAAATACAGTAACAGCATCTTAACTAAATACAGTATGTTACAGTATGTTACAGTATGTTATGTAACAGCCGTGTGTGTGCAGGCCGAGGGCCAGTGCTGCTGCAGAGCGATTGTGGAGTGATGAGAAGATGACCTCCAGTGTGACCGACGCCTTCCCTCGCCTCGTGGACTTCCGCTGCAGGCTACTAAGGTATGGTAACTATGGTTACGTGAACCAGTATCTGAGGAGAGGATTATGACCACTCTCCTCTCTAACCCAGTTAGCCTGAATTCGTTTCCCCATTAGACAGCTCTCCAAGTGTTATAATGCCAAAATACATTGGTTACTCACCCAATATAGAGTTTTGTTGAGTAACTATCTTTATTTACTGCCGTTACTTTAAAAAAACGTTAAAATAAAAATCTATACTGAACAAAAACATAAACGCAACATGTGAAGTGTAGATCCCATGTTTCATGAGCTGAAATAAAAGATCCAAGAAATGTTCCATACGCACAAAAACGTATTTCTCTCAAATGTTGTGCACAAATTTGTTTACATCCCTGTCAGTTTGCATTTCTCCTTTGCCAAGATAATCCATCCACCTGACCGGTGTGGCAAATCAAGAAGCTGATTAAACAGCATGATCATTACACTGGTGCACCTTGTGCTGGGGCCAATAAAAGGCCTCTCTAAAAGTTTTGTCACACAACACAATGCCACAGATGCCGCACGTTTTGAGGGAGTATGCAATTGGCATGCTATATAAATGAATGTTAATTTCTCTACCATAAGCCACCTCCAACGTCATTTTAGAGAATTTGGCAGTACGTCCAACCGGCCTCACAACCACAGACCACGTGTAACCACGCCAGCCCAGGACCTCCACATCCGGCTTCTTCACCTGTGGGATCATCTGTAATAAAGCCCTTTTGTGGGGAAGAACTCATTCTGATTGGCTGGGCCTGGCTCGCCAATGGGTGGGCCTGACTCCCAAGTGGGTAGGCCTATGCCCTCCCAGGCCCACCCATGGCTTTGCCCCTGCCCAGTTATGTAGGCCCTAATCTATGTACAATCCATAGATTAGGGCCTAATTTATTTTTTTATATTGGCTGATTTCCTTATATGAACTGTAACTCAGTAAAATATTTTTAATTGTTTGCACATATATTTTTGTTCAGTGTAGAAGCAACCGAAAATATGTGTTGTCTGGAAAAAATCTAGTTATTGTTTTTGACCAATTTATGTGCCAAATCCTCTGAAACAGCTCCAGAGGCGTCATTGCAATAGGGGGGCAGGTGCCCCCTCATATTTGTCCTGTTTCAAAATTTATGAATATAATAATTATTAGTATTTATATCAATGTTTTCTCTGTAAAACTACTATCCACCTAGCAATTTTATGAATTTGCCTTTAGCTAGCCCAGATAGGTTCCCAATCTCCCAACCTCATAACTAGCTTCCAAGAAGCCATTTCAGGCTATCAATCAAGTCAGAGCAGCTAGCTTGTCTAACTATCTTAGCTGGCATGCCTGCTGGCAAGGTTGGTAGACTTTAGAAAAGCAAGCAATAACTAAATGCAGTGAAAAATACATTCCTTTCAATCTTTTACCCATATTTAAGCATAGATGCAGAGATGCATATTTCGTTTCTTTACAAAATAACCACTGGAGGATACAGTCAGCTCAAGAGGTATGCTTGGATATGCAGAAACATATATATATATTTTACATAGGATTAAGCATAATGATTATGGCTCTAGATTGCTGGAAAAAGCTGTTTCAGGTGTTTGAAAATGGTAAATTCTCAAATTTATGGATGGGGGGCCTTGCACCCCTCTGGACCACTGGACCACCGCCCTCTGGACCACCGCTCAGCCATTCTCACTGGACCACCGCCCTCTGGACCACTGGACCACCGCCCTCTGGACCACCGCTCAGCCATTCTCACGTACTTTGTGCCCCCTCATATTTTTGGTTACATGACGCCCCTGGGCACATCCAATAAAAATCACTCATTACTGTCACTGCCAGGTGCGGAAAAGGTGCATTTGGCGCATGCGCACTTAGTAAAAAAAACTATAAATAGATTATTTCCAGACAAGACAAAATGTTGGTTGCTTGTACATGTTTATTTAGACCTTTTTTGGAAGTATATACCAGGCGTTACGGCATTAAATATAGGTAGTTGCTCAACGAAACTCCATATTTGGTGACTAACCAACGTATTTTTACGTTATAGTGCTTGCAGAGCTGTCTAATGGGGAAATGCATGCTAGCTAACTGGGCTAGAGAGGAGAGTCATCATATTCATCATGCTAGCTAGCTAACTGGTCTAGAGAGGAGAGTCATCATATTCATCATGCTAGCTAGCTAACTGGTCTAGAGAGGAGAGTCATCATATTCATCATGCTAGCTAGCTAACTGGTCTAGAGAGGAGAGTCATCATATTCATCATGCTAGCTAGCTAACTGGGCTAGAGAGGAGAGTCATCATATTCATCATGCTAGCTAGCTAACTGGGCTAGAGAGGAGAGTCATCATATTCATCATGCTAGCTAGCTAACTGGGCTAGAGAGGAGAGTCATCATATTCATCATGGTAGCTAGCTAACTGGGCTAGAGAGGAGAGTCATCATATTCATCATGCTAGCTAGCTAACTGGGCTAGAGAGGAGAGTCATCATATTCATCATGCTAGCTAGCTAACTGGGCTAGAGAGGAGAGTCATCATATTCATCATGCTAGCTAGCTAACTGGGCTAGAGAGGAGAGTTGTCATATTCATCGGCTGCAGTCCAAACACTTTCATTTTACCCCCTCAGCCCTTGCGCTAGCCACTTTCCCTCGGGGTAATCCCTGTCGAAACCGGATGCAGTTTGATTGCCATCTTAAGTGGAGGTCCAATTCACAAATGTTGCCCCCTCGGCCCTCGATTTAGCTCGAGGGAGCGAGTGAAGAACTTTGATCACTTGTGGGGTTGATATGACCCACAATTCAATGCAAACTGTAGTCATGTGTCAAACTCCAGTGGCTGCGAAATGTCAAATGTAATCAACATGGTTGCATTTTTGGTATGTGAGACAAAATTATGATGCTATCTTGCTAAAAGATATATTTATATATATATATAGAGGACATTGATTTTAGCGTTGGCAAATGGGAATTACGCTCAAATTGGCTTAGTCTCCTAGTGAGGTGCCTGTAAAACATAGCTAGCTTCATAAACATATTTTTGGGAATTCTGAAATGGTCCCTTATTCCAATACAAACTACAAAACTAGCTAGCCAGTTATGGGTAACTGTATCTAGCTACCTGACAGGAGTGCTAGCTAGCTATGTTAGCTTGCTAGGTACATTAATAGTTTTAGGTTGGTTGTTTTTAAACTCAACTTCAACATTTCCACCAAGGACTTTGCCACTCAGATCATCATCACTCCCTCGTTTGGGCGAGGGACATTTAAGGTACACTCGGATGTGACGATGTAAAACGTAATTCAAGGGCTGAAGGTTTAGGGCCGATGACTGTTTACTTTGCTTTAACTGCAGCCCTACTCTGCCCAGATACTGGTTCAGGGTTACGTTACTTAATCAAAGTAGGTTGAACAAGATGTTTATCAAATATGTTTAGCCATGCACCCATCATACAGTACTAGCTGTTTTGTAATAGTCATTAAGGCAACTGAATCTAGCTTTCTCCTCTCTCCCTTTCTATCTCTTCGTCTCCCTCTCTCCTCTCTCCATCTTTCCCTACCCCCTCTCTCTCTCCAGGCGCGGTATCCAGGCAGAGCCTCTGTTTGTGGGTCACTGCAGACATGAGTATCAGGGTATCTGAAACATGGCTGGCTGTGTGTCACTGCAGACTAATCAGGGTTCTAAATGAACTTTTCTTCATTGGTAGCACTGGTGCTCCTAACTTCAGAAAGTAAGGAGTACAAGACAAAATTTAGGAGCACCAGATTATAGTTTTTTTTTTTTTAACTGCAAATGACTGTCCTATCATTCTTAATTGTCATCAGTTGTTACCTTGATGATGTAGAACACATCACTAGAGAGTGGGCCAGACATTTAAATAAAAACAACTTTTAATAATTGTATTCGAAAGTGCAACAGCAAACACATTTATATAGGTAATTAAAACAACCCTTATTTTATTTGCAGTACAACTGCAAAACTGTTATTCATTACTGCATTCAGCTAACAGACAATAATAATAGTAATAATAATAATTATGTTGTAACAAGGCAACATGCTGACTATCAACTGATACGTGGATAATGATATTCATGTTCAGTTTCCTCTCACAATAACTAATCCATTTTTTAAAATCTATGATCTAGATAATAAATCAACGTCCTTTTAGGTTTAGGGTAGGGACGTCCCAAGGATCCCAGATAGCATGAACCTTCTTCCTGATAGTGTCCGCGATGGTGCCAATAATGTTTGCACAGGACACCACCTAGTGGTGTTGCTGTAGTTAGTAGACCTAGTGGTGTTGCTGTAGTTAGTAGACCTAGTGGTGTTGCTGTAGTTAGTAGACCTAGTGGTGTTGCTGTAGTTAGTAGTCCTAGTGGTGTTGCTCCAGCCCCTGTAGTTAGTAGACCTAGTGGTGTTGCTGTAGTTAGTAGACCTAGTGGTGTTGCTGTAGTTAGTAGACCTAGTGGTGTTGCTGTAGTTAGTAGACCTAGTGGTGTTGCTGTAGTTAGTAGACCTAGTGGTGTTGCTGTAGTTAGTAGACCTAGTGGTTTGCTGTAGTTAGTAGACCTAGTGGTGTTGCGGTAGTTAGTAGAACCTAGTGGTGTTGCTGTAGTTAGTAGACCTAGTGGTGTTGCTGTAGTTAGTAGACCTAGTGGTGTTGCTGTAGTTAGTAGACCTAGTGGTGTTGCTGTAGTTAGTAGACCTAGTGGTGTTGCTGTAGTTAGTAGTCCTATTGGGTGTTGCTGTAGTTAGTAGACCTAGTGGTGTTGCTGTAGTTAGTAGACCTAGTGGTGTTGCTGTAGTTAGTAGACCTAGTGGTGTTGCTGTAGTTAGTAGACCTAGTGGTGTTGCTGTAGTTAGTAGACCTAGTGGTGTTGCTGTAGTTAGTAGACCTAGTGGTGTTGCTGTAGTTAGTAGACCTAGTGGTGTTGCTGTAGTTAGTAGACCTAGTGTGTTGCTGTAGTTAGT